CAGCAGCAGCATCGCTGGAGCCTGGGACCGACCTCGGTTCAGCCCCCACGCGCGCCGCCCGCCGCCCCGCGCCCGTCCTTCGGCCTCCACCCGCTCCTCATCCAGAGCCAGAAAGAGAAAATGGCGCTCGATTTATCCCAGGAAGTGACGTCGGAGTTCATTTGCATACCAGGCAGCCAGCCAATGGGAAGAGAGTTGGGCCATTGCTCCCATTGGCTCCCCGGAGGAGCTAGGCGCGGCTGGGGGCGGGACCTCAGGTAGGGGGGCCCTCCAGCCCCGGGGCTCCCCTGCCCCTGTGTCACCTGCCCCTGCTGCCTGCACCCCCCAAAGGGTGCCACTGGGGGCTCTCGCGAGAGCTGGAGGCGTGGCGTCATCATGGAGTGGGAGGAGCCTGATGACGTCGTGCCCATCACATGAGGTCACCACGCGACCACTCTCCTGATTTGCATGGAATGTTGGGTGAAGCTTCATTTGCATCTGATGGGGGCTTGGAGGCCCCTCCCACCTCCACCAGCCAATAGGGTGAGGTGAGGCCTGGCAGCATGGCTTCCCATTGGAGGAGGCCCTACCCGGCACCTCTGCTCATGGCTCACAGCTCCCCACCCTGGCGCTCCTCTGCCAGGCCTGGCGGCCATGGCGGGACTGGGGCTGCAGGAGGCTGGGGCGCCCTGGCAAGGAGCTGTGAGAGCTGTGGCACGGGTTTGGGCAGAGGAGCCCCACCGGACACCTCTCCAGTGATGTCATCTGGGAGCGTGGCTGTATCACGCCCATGGCGCTGGAAGGTGGTGGTCCGATGAAAGGTGCGTCTCTGCAAGTCAGTCCCTTGGGCTGTGTCTACCAGACGTCTTCATGTCAAGCAGCCAACACAGTTCCTCCTACCATGATGGTAGATGGTTTCTGATTAACACAAGATGGAAACAGAATTGGTGCCCTGTGCTGGCGGGAAACAGCCATACCCCAAGGACCAAGACAACCAGCCATATCAGCAGTGTGGGTGGCTGTCCACCACTGAGATGCCTGGCCTGGTGGCCATAGGAGGCAGGAGGTGGGTCATGGCAGGAGGTGTGCTATAGTAGAGATGCCTGGGGCCGTGCTGGATCCCATCCTCGGCACACCAGGACCTCCTCTCTGCTATCCCTGCCATCTTCCTGGGACAGCTTTTGGCCTTTCCCTTTCCCACAAGCTTGTCCTGGCTTTGCTCAGGCCATCTCCAAAGGGTTCGCAAACTACTTCCTTCAACGAGAGTTTCTTTAAGCGTTCACCATGTGAATGAAGTGCTCATCGCATGGAAGCCAAGGGGAATTTCACCAGTGGCCTTGGTAGCCATACAATGTCCCTGTTTGCCTACATCTAGCTCACAGGCAGGTCAGCGTGTTGGCCAACTCCCATCAAAGCCTGTGAAGGCTGCGGCAGTAGACTGACTGGTCTCTTGTCGAAGACCAATACCAACAAAATATTCACATCAGCAGAAAATTCATCTGTTTTTTTACTGTAGGGGCCACAAAAATGATTCACCTTTGTGGTAAACACTCTAATAAGTACATTGAAACATAATTAGTTCTAAGATTTTTGGGGTTATTTTCTGGGGTATATATTCTGTTATTAAAAATCGGTGTGGTATAGGTTCATTAGCCATGCACTTCCTGCACCGTTGTATGTGCAGTAAGGGTGTAGGTAAGTCAAGACTCAAAACCATCAATGGAAAAAAGGGCAGCTGGCTATGAAAGATAAATTATTCATAGTAGATATACAACCACAATATAAAATATTGTTACTACACAGTGCGAGGAGGGATACGTCCCAGTTAGTGAAAGTAGCATTTAAAATGAAGTTATTAGCTGCTGTCTAGCAATTCATGAAGTAAAATAATGAACTGTGGCTCTGCCAAAATGGAAATGCCCAATGGCTCCCCCATAATCAACAACATTAAACTTCTGTTGCAACAAAGCATCACCAAATAATTGCGGGGTGTTTCCAACAATGGATATGTTACAAAGATTAAGCGGAAGATGAAGAGAAACCAGTTGTGAAAGGGTCTTTCATGGCTGAACATTCCAGCAGAACTGTGGAACATCCCTGATTGCCATAGAACCACAGAATGGTTGAGGTGGGAAGGGACCTCTGGAGGCCATCTGGTCCAACCCCGCTGCTCAAGCAGGGCCACCTAGAGCCAGTTGCCCGGGATGAT